AGGAGGAGCAATTTTTAATTCTCCAGTCTGATGATTGCCAGTGGGGGTGAGGAGGGAGAGAGGGGGGAGACAGGTAAGGGAGGGGTTGATGGGGCCATAAGAGATGTGACTGTGGGTCCCCCTCTTCTGAGGGAAAGATCAGAGCATTGCTTAGAAATTAGCCAGAAAAGATTCCAAGATCTCCTGGAGGGGCCAGTTTATCTGCTTGGAGCAATGTGGGTTTCTGAAGCTGATAGCTTCAGGGTCAGGTAAGAGATGGGGGAGGCAGGGTGTCTTACCCTTAATTCCTGACGCACTATTACCAGTGGATCTTTTCTTACTTCTCAGTTCTCCTTTCTACCGCTTCCTCTGGGGAATTGTTAATTTCTGGGGAGTAGAATGAGGTTTGAGCCATTGAAGCCTGTATGGAAACACCCACTCATTTGCAAATTGGCAAACAGCCTCCCACAAAGTACAAGAAGGCTTGATTCAGAGCTTTAAGGAAACAATGGAGTTTGTTTAACATTTAATGAACTCAAAATAGAGTACTCTAAAAAATAAGTCAATAAAGCAGTTTTTTAATCTTTAATGCACACTTGCTAGCATTATGTCTGAAGTATTATCTGTTAACCTCAGTATGGGTTTACTGCTGTTGTTTATCAAATGAGTCATTGCCTGTATGATTTCCAGGCTGTGAATGAAAATATTGATTGGAATTGTGCAAATGGAAACGCTTTTGTTTCTGGCCACAGCTTTCCCAAATCATTCAGGGCTTCGAATAGAATAGGTACCTTCTACTGCTAGGCAATTCACAAAAGAAAGACACAGGACAGACAGGCTTATCTTTCACGTAAGTCTGCCATAAAATTCCCTTTCTTGGGCTCATTCAAGGTCCTGTGAATGTTAAGATCTTCCATTCAGTTTCATTTGTGTGTTTTTGAAGAAATAGCAAAATTCAGTGTGCTTCTCAGTGGGAGACTTTTCTTTTGCATTCCATCTCCCAGTGGCACCCCCTGCCACTCCATCCTCATCTGAGGGAGAGTGTTGGAAAGCAGAGAGGGGATGGGCTGGGGCATTGGTACGGGGGCGGGGGTATTACCAGGAAAAATAGAAGCCTCCTGCCTTTTATCAGAGCAAGTATCAAATACTATTTGGCCCAAGTACATTTCGTCCCATTCTGTTTCTTATGCAAATTAAACATCTAGAGACCAGCCTGCCACAAAAGTTCAATCTACTTCCCAATTTCATTCAGCTTGTCCTTGAAAGGAGTATCATGTACCTGATGGTTAGCTGGATTCCCACCCCAAGAAATTGTAGGCGACATCTCTTTCTCTGTCCCAGGATCTTATCGCTATCAGACTTCTCTAGAAATCAAAAGCACCTTCTCTTTTGAGGTGGGCTTCTAAAGAGAGAAATATTACCATTAGAAAACACCCAGAGTTCACATGAGAACGCCACTGACATGTCCTTCCGGCCTGAGGATACCAACCTCAGATGAACACACGTTAGGGCGGCGAGTCTTCACAGAGCACTTCCTGTGTCCAGGCACTGTGCTCAGCAATTTATATGCCTTCTTTTATTCTATCTTTGCAAAAGCCATAGGCAATGAAAAGCCCCATTTTACAGATTTGAAAACTGTAGGCTTAGAAAGGTCAAGTTATGAACCCAAGATAATACCGTTGGAAACGTGACAGCGCCATGACTTCTAATTTCGGAACGTGTGATCTTAGTTACATATGATGTAATCCAGGGCTGATGACAATAATGTGTGTTATCTAGGGGTGACCCACTCCAACTAGGCTTCCCTCTTTGGATTTCCCAAGTAGAACTGAGCATAGCAACAAAAGACTTTCCTGGTACCTTGCCCTGATTGGGGAAAATAAGCCATGTCTATGCTAGCAGACATATATCTCATTTAATAGTCTGAGTAACACTGTGTCATAGATATTAGCATATCCTTTCAGGAGAGGAGGAAATTAAAACTCCCAGAAGCTAAGTAATCCGCTCAAGAACACACAACTAGTAATGACTGAGGTGGACTTTGGATTCCAGGCCAAACAGCAGAGTCCAACTGTCCAGGCTTCTCCTATCACATCTCACAGCATCTTGCAAGCACCCATCAGACATTTCTGCTGGGAGAGAGGAAAGGTGTTTATATCCACTGCAACCCAGTCCATGAGTGACCCCTGCCCTGCCAAGTCAGAGGTAAGATGACACTGTTGACTTCCCTGGGCCAAAGTTGGTTGAAAAGAGATATGTATCTGTAGAATCCTCTTGAAATGGGAACAAGTACTCCAACCCATGTAAAATAGCAATACTGAGGCCAGATACGGTGGCTCATGCCTATAATCCCAGGACTTTGGGAGGCCGAGACGGGTGGATCCCTTGAGCTCAGGAGTTCCAGACCAGCCTGGTCAACATGGTGAAACCCCATCTCTACTAAAAATACAAAAATTAACCAGGTGTGGTGGTGTGTGCCTGTAATCCCAGCTACTCGGGAGACTGAGCCAGGAGAATTGCTTGAACCCAAGAAGCAGATGTTGCTGTGAACTGAGATCATACCACTGCACTCCAGCCTGGGTGACAGAGTGAGACTCAGTCTCAATTAAAAACAAAAACAAAAAACGAACCAAAAAAATACTGAATTGCCAGTAATGAATAATCATTTATGTCACATCAGAAGTCCTTCCTTATGCAATTGGACTGTTACACTCTTCTGTGGCTTGACTTACCTGCCAAGCATTCTGATTATCCCTTTTTCCTCCTCTCCATCCCATAGTCCTATTTTTGTGCACTCTCCTCCCCTAGTTCCTCAGGGAAAGAAGCCACATCAAGTGCATGCATCTTCCCAGGGCCTGGTCCAGTATACCACAGGGGCTCAATAAATGCTTACTAAAAAAAGAGGGGGAAAGAAACACAGAGAATTTGTGCTAAGCCTCAGGAAAGAGGAACTCAGAGAATTCACACATATTTTCGAGATTCAAGTGTCTTTTTTCTGCTCAGGAATGAACTATGGAGAACAGTGGAAATATGCCAATGTTACTGTTCACAATAGCAAAGACTTGGAACCAACCCAAATGCCCATCAATGATAGGCTAGATAAAGAAAATGTGACACATATACACCATGGAATACTATGCAGCTGTAAAAAAGGATGAGTTCATGTCCTTTGTAGGGACATGAATGAAGCTGGAAACCATCATTCTCAGCAAACTATCACAAGAACATAAAACCAAACACCACATGTTCTCACTCATAAGTGGGAGTTGAACAATGAGAACACATGGACACAGGGAGGGGAACATCACACACCGAGGCCTGTTGGCGGGTGGGGGGCTAGGGGAGGGAGAGCATTAGGAGAAATATCTAATGTAGATGACCGGTTGATGGGTGCAGCAACCACATGGCACGTGTATACCTATGTAACAAACCTGCACCTTCTGCACATGTATCCCACAACTTGAAGTAAAATAATAATAAAAAAGAAATATGCTAATGTTTCCAGGCCACAATAAACTTGATCTTACTGTTTAAAAATTTTTTAACTACATTCTTTCTCTTCTCCCTTTCAGCTCATTTATTCATCGTCCATAAAGTATTTTGCATATGTGTTTTACAATACAGATATGCCTCCTGTTACATGAATCATAAATCTACAATCAGTCACTTTGTGGTGCATCTAAGGAAAGGAAAAGTAATTCATGGGACACATACATGTTACCGGAAACTGTTAGTTGTCTTTTCATGTAATCTACTTATTTATCTACTACTTACAGTTTACAAGAGCCTTCATATCATTGCTTTCCTACTCTGTAAGTTCAGCCCAGAACCACAGCCACCATTTTACACAGAAGGAAACAGAGTTACAGAAACTTTTAATGGCTTTCCACATGGCTCTTTCCCTCATTCTTTGACACTGTCATTATAAAACCTCCCATCAATTTAACAATAGATTTTGAGGAAATAAGGAAACTGTACCGTATTACATATGCATATTGCTTATAAGATGCCTCCCAATGTTTTGAAACATTAAATGATGTGCAATATCAATAATATATCTGGAACCTTCATGGGAGCAGCATGTTACCTGTTGTTTTCAGTGGGATCTTGTCGAGTGACTAAGGATTGAATTATAAGAGAGGCTTTCTAAGTTTCTTCTTCCAATGTCATTGCTCTGGGAGACTAATAAAGCTTTAGAAATCTCAAGGGTGTACAATTAAAAGTTGTTCTTCAGGATGAAGTTCAAGACACTAGAGTTTATTTTTTTTTTTTTAATTAGAAGGAAAAATCCTTTAAAATGTTTATAGTCACACACACACACACACACACATACATATATATATATATAGTTATCAGGTGCAACAATGTTAAACCTGAATTTTCTTAAGTTCAAAGTTTAGTTCACCTACATAGAAAAATAAGAAAGCAGGAAATAAAGCAAAGAAAGCAAGACAAAAGAATTAAAATTGTCACCTGGAATGGTACAGAAGTAGTTTGCCTCCATTCAGAGTTATTTTGTGTACAAAGGGGGAAAAAATCAACTTTTCCTCCCAATCTTGGTTGCGGCAGTTAAAAAAAAAAAGTTTTTCCAACTCTGTAAAGCAAAAGAAATTAGACTCAAGTAACTGAGCTTCCCATCGGATTACTGTGCAGGCCCCCCTTTTATTCCCCACACAGTGGATAATGCGTGCTCATTGTGACTTATCTGGAGCCAGTTTCTTTTACATCCTCGGGCTATATAAAGTCAAACTAGGACTGGGGCAGCAGATTTGGGGAGCATCCAGCAGGCAGCCTCCACAGTCCGGAGAGAATGAAACAGTCGGGAACATGAACAACTCCATGTGTCATTGACTCTTCCAACGGTATGAGCTCCACTTTTTGCCTCTCAGTGCTAACAAGAAACAATTAGAAGTGACACAACATCGTTGATCTCCCTTGAAAATTTCCCCAGGACTATATGTGTGGCTTTGTTCTTCCCTTGATTTTAACTTTTCATTCATGTTTCTGACTTAGAATGATCGAGGCTCAGGCCCTGGAAGGACCGTAAAATTTGGCCAGCTTGGTTTGGACACCTGGCAAAGACCAGGTTCTGAGAAGCAATGGTGATGAAGGCCTTTGTCCTGTTGGCCATCTTTGCAGAAGCCTCTGCGAAATCATGCGCTCCAAATAAAGCAGGTACGTCCTCGCCACAGTCCATTTTCCTGGGAAGAAAAGTTTCCTTTTACAATGCTCAGCACTTCTGTGCTTAACTTGTTATAAAAATGCAATGATGGAGCCAAGTAGAAAAGTACTTAAGTCCCCCTACCACCATTATCAATCAGACTTTTCCCAGATGGAGCAAAAATGTATTGGATAAACTCAGATATTTTTTAAATTAGAGAATGCTTGCTGTATTTCACGCTCTTGCTTACACGCTCTCTCCCCACATCCCATTATATGTATATAAAACATCTCCACTTGTTTTTCCATTCAACTACAGAATTTCTATCCTGTGCCCTAAATCAGTATTTCACAATATTATGCATGAAATTGACATTTAAAATGTTTAAGTTATGTGCTCATTGTGATGGAGATTTTAATATATATTTGTATATGTCTATTACATCCTATCTGTGGTTTCACAGATATATTCTTTAAAGTTCCAAATGGACTAATTTTAATTCCACGTTAAATGAGGTGCGGTCATTAAATAAATGCAGCAAAAACTGTAGGAGTGACTCTCCAATGACTGAAGTTCGGGGAAAACGTTCGTCACAGCTGGTGAATAGCAGGGAAGGTGTTTTTAACCCACTGCTTTTGCATGCTCAGGTGTAGCTGGAACCCACTGTTCTTTATGTAGGTTAGCATGATTACCATAACTGATTTTAAACTATACGTGTGCTCTTTCCAGATGTCATTCTTGTGTTTTGTTATCCCAAAACCATCATCACCAAAATCCCCGAGTGTCCCTATGGATGGGAAGTTCATCAGCTGGCCCTCGGAGGGCTGTGTTACAACGGGGTCCATGAAGGAGGCTACTACCAATTTGTGATCCCAGATTTATCACCTAAAAACAAGTCCTATTGTGGAACCCAGTCTGAGGTAAGACCAGGCCACACAGTGCAGAGTTGTTTAAGGTAAGGCAACTGGACCCAAGAATGAGATGTCCACCATCCGTCCTTGAAAGGATTCACAATGTACCCACTTCCTTTTAAAGGTCAATCCTGATTCCCAAATATCCTAAATGTGAGTGTTATTTAACATCTTATCTTCTGCCTAGTTTAGATAACTCTTTTGGCTTGACCCTTATCCTCCTAATTTGTTGCCAAAGCCAGTGAAGCTATCTTCTAGTAGAGCAAAGTACATTTCCCACTTTCAAGTTCTGAGCCTGTGCTTACAAGCTGCCATCCTTCCTGGATCGGATGGGTGAATGGATGATCCAGTCTCTGCCTGAGACTTTAAAGTGGTGATAAAGAGCCTTTGGAAGGGCAGTTTAGGGAGTGACCAATGGGGCAGTTTAGGGAGTGACCAATGTATAAGACAACTTCTAACTCGGTCTTGTGAAGTGCCCAGGATGGGGTATCATAAGATAATTATTAGGAAACAGATGCCCTCTTAACAAGTATCATATGACAGATGAGAAATCTGAGACTCCCCAATAAAGTCACTCGTTCAGGGCCACAGAGCCTGTAGGGGTGGAATCAGGAAAGGAGGCTAGGTCTCCCAACCTCCCCACCAAGGTCTAGCATTCCTACTGCCCTACCTGCCAGAAGGCTGTGTATCGGTCCATCTCAGAGCATGAGAGCAAAGAGCGTCCAGGGCCAGCTCCTCTTTCTGAAGGCTTCACAAGGATTCAGTGATTTAATGGGAAGAGTCATGAGCATGATTAACAAGACGCCATGTCTTTGAGTATATCCTGGTGAACTAGAAATCATCTGTATGGTCTCAGGTCGGTCACTTTTCAAGTGGATGTTCAAGATCCCCTCTAGCTCTAATATTCTGTGATTTTAGAGCCCAACAAGTCAGAGGAAAGAGTCTCAGAAATCGTGCTTATAGTCAGAAGAAGGAAAGAGCAAAGAACCAGAAGGGAACATTCTAGAAACTGGAGATGGGTGAAGCATTCATTTAGGATACTTGGACAGGAGAAATGGATGAAGAGTTGACCTTGGGAAATAGAGATTCTTGAGCCAGTTCTTTTTGGTCAGAAGCCCAATGGGTACATGGAGATGTTAAAGCATACAACATCAACCTAGATTGTTTTTAAACACTCTTAGTTGAATAAACTAAGGAACCCTTTACAAAATTATCAGTTTACCCACAGACAAGAAGAGTTGATGCCACTGTCAGTGGCAGACATTCCTGTCTCCCCACTGGACTTGTTTCTGAGCCATCTTCCCGCACTTTTCCCAGAACCCTCATTCCCATAGCAGGGACACAGATTTATCCTGACTGTCTCCTTTCTTTGTCCAGTACAAGCCACCTATCTATCACTTCTACAATCACATCGTTTCCAATGACAGCACAGTGATTGTAAAAAACCAGCCTGTCAACTACTCCTTCTCCTGCACCTACCATTCCACCTACTTGGTGAACCAGGCTGCCTTTGACCAGAGGTAAGTTGCTGTGCGGCATGAAGGGCTGGCTGCCTCATGTGTGTGCTGCAGGTCCTATCAATCAGTGTGTTTCAGTCCTTATGCAAAATTCTCTCCCCTTTTCAGAGTAGCCACTGTTCATGTGAAGAACGGGAGCATGGGCACATTTGAAAGCCAATTGTCTCTCAACTTCTACACTGTAAGTAGCCTCCAGGTTTCCATTACTTCCCTGTGGCCTTTCTAGGAGACGGTGGGATGCTTCCTTGGTATTCAGTCTTCCTCAAGCTCTGTGCAGAGCCCCATTCTTAAATTCAAGTTGAAACATAAGCTTTGGTTTAGCTTTAAACTTCTTTAAAAACTAAGTGTCACAGAAAGTCAGATTCATAGACTGGATAGAAGAGCTGAAAGGTATAAGATATAAGCTATAAGACCAACCTTCCGGCCAGGCACAGTAGCTAATGCCTGTAATCCCAGCACTTTAGGAGGCTGAGGCAGGCGGATCATTCGAGGTCAGGAGATCAAGACCAGCCTGTCTAACATGGTGAAATCTCATCTCTACTAAAAAAAATTCAAAAATTAGCCAGGTGTGGTGGCACGCGCTTGTAGTCCCAGCTACTCGGGAGCCTGGGGCAGGAGAATTACTTGAATCCGGGAGGTGGAGGTTGCAGTGAGCCAAGATGGCACCACAGCACTCCAGCCTGAGAAACAAGAGTGAAACTCTGCCTCAAAAAATAAAATAAAATAAAATAAAAACACCAACCTTCCGCAAAGATATAAGACCAACTTTTCCATTTTACAGATGAGAAAACTGAGGCAAGGTCAATAGACAATAAGACAGCTAATGTCTGATTCTTGGTCAAGATTAGTTTTCACTACAACCCACTCCAGAGATTTATATTTCAGATCTAGCTCTTAAAATTTTTGGCACAAGGTATTGAGGTTCCTGACTGGGACAGGGCTAAAGAGAAGGATTGGGGTCGGCCTCTGCTGCCTAATTCTTTTGTCTCTGAAGCCTTTCAAGTAGCGTTTCCTACTTGCTTAATTTAGGCAGGCTGCCTATGTTGACATAGAAGTTAAAGGCACACTTTGGTCTCTCTCAAAATAGAGTGCTCCAGAGGAACTAAATATGCAGTGGCCACTTGCCCAGCTGCCCTCCTCTTTAGAAGGGGTGCTTTGTTTCTTCAAACCTGCAGCTTGCATTGAGGACACATGCACACAGAGACACTGTCCCAGCAGACTAAAGGAAGATGTGGGCAGAAATACAAACCTTTGCATAGAACATCAGAGCCAGAGGACCTCCTTGGAAGGGCTTCATGTCCAACCCATTCACTTCTCAAAGGAGAAATATCATACTACCTGTAACTCCATTAACTTTCAACTCTTTAAACTTGCTTAACCTGCTGCCTGGAAGCTATTAGCCCTGCTGAGCTCAGAAGGTGAGAGCTGTAAGGGATCCTAGAATAACCTAGTCTAGGTTATTCAGAGATGAGGACCAGAAGCCCAGAGAGAGGAAGGATTAGCCTGAGAGCCCACAGGTAGTTCAGAGCAGTGGCCAGTCTTGAACACAGATCTCCTAGATATGGTCACTTTGCTTACTGCAAAGGGAATGAAACTCATTTCAAGGCCCTTTGAAGACCTTGTGTCTAATTCTGTATTCAAAAATGTGATTCTTTTCATTAAAGAGGGCTCTCCACATTGTAAAAGTTTCAAGATCCCACAAAATCTAGATCTGCCCCTAGCCACATACCACTAGTGGTTAAGTACTGAGAAAAGGAATCCATACAACCCTTGACCTATAATCGGAGGCTAAATACAGCATGGGCCACCAGGGTGATGATAAGGTGGTGAAACCGCTACAGTCACTGATGAAAGCCATCCGGAGAGGAAAATAGGCTTCCACGCACTGACAACAGTCTCAGGGGACTCCCTGATGACAGGCTGCCTTTGCTACTGAGTCCCTGTCTGGAAGTGAATAATTGTTGTTTTAACCGGACAAAATTATAGATATGATCCTATGAAGGTTTTACAGCAGTAGGCAACACGGAGACACCAGGATTGTCAAAAATCATCGCCCACCATCAGCCTTGTAGAGCTGAGCTTCAGGCATACACAAAACATCAAGTCTTAGAACTGGAATGAGCTTATGTTCTTTTAAAAATAATAATAATAATAACGAGACATGTCCTCAGCATCCTCCAGGCCATCCTCTGGGCTGGACAGACAGATAACGGGACACCCCCTTCAAGAAGTATAAAACTAAGGGTCAAGCCTCCCCTGAGGCCCACCAAGACCCTTCTAGGACAAATAGGCCTCAGCAAAGAAGGGATTGTGCTGTCCTGACACTTCCGTACTGATTAATATTCCCGCCATGGGCTCAGTTCCCTATGCCTGACCCATGTGGTTGGTATTTTTTTCTCCTCCCTTCTTCCGCTTTCAGAGAATTCTTATGTGTTTCTGAAGCAACAACTGCTCCCTGCATATATTTCCATCAAATTACCAGAAAGAGAGCTGTGCCCTAGATAACACAATGGAATCAATGCACTGCTAATTGCTTAGGATCCTGAGAGCTTCAAATGCTGGGCTCTAAAAGCACCAGTTCTACTCAGCAGGCTTCCTCCTTCTTTTCTCTCCATCCCCCTCCCGCTCACTCTTGACGATATCCCATGGTTGGTATCCCTAGTGAAAAGTTATTTTGACCCTCAATACAAAATGAAGGAAGGTAGTTGGCTTGCGGAAACACCCTAGTGCTGTGGTTAAGAAAATGGGCCTTCTCAACAGACCACTAGTTTGAAGCCTTGTTCCATCATTTACTAGTTGTGTGACTTTGGGCAAGTGAGTTAACCTTTCTGGGTTTCTATCTCTGCATTTGTTAAACAGGGATAATAATAGCACTTAACCCACTGGTTTGTTATAGGATTAAATGAAATAATCTTTCGGAAGCACTTAGCACAGTGCCTGGCACACGTTAAGTGCCCAAGAAAGTAGCCCTTCTCATCATTGTAGACTTTGACTCTATTTAAAGTGGAAACTCTGAGGGCTTCTAGCATTGTTACCTTTATAAGGCTGAACATTGATGTCAGTGTGGGATTATGTTGACTTTTATTCAGTCAAAACAGTACTGATCATTCCTCTTAGAGACAGAGAAATGAAAAAGCTTAAGATGGAAAAAATGCAAGCAAAAGAGGCCAAAATCATAGACTCCAAGAGTCAAAACAAACCTCCGAGGTGGTGAACCTCAGCTTTCCACCCAAAGCCCAAAACCCTTCTGCAAGATTGCTGTGGGGTGGCCTCCCCGCCTCTTCCAAAGACAATGATATTTGGGCCTTCCCATTTTAGATCAGCTCTGATATCTGACACCCTGAACTCTCGCGCATGTGTCCCGGTTCTGTCTTCTGAAATAATATCATATAATTATGTGGCTGACAGTCCTCCAAATATCTCCACCTTCTCCAAGCTAAACCTCTTGTCTCTGGTTCATTCACCATCCTAGTCACTCTTCTCTGAATATGATCCAGTTGCTCGGTACCTCTATTAAAAAATGAAGCCCAGAGTTGAAGTGTTATATTCTAGACTTTATCAGACCTGTGCAGGCCATCAAGGGTCAGAGGTGACCTTCTAGGTTTTGGAAGATTCCAGGAATGTGTCCTAGGAAAATAACTTTAGGGCAGTTTTTTTTTCACCACTATTTCACATGGAGCTTATAAGCAAAAGCAACTCGGAGATTTTTCCACATGAACTATTGTTAAGCCAGGTGTACTCATCCTTAACTTGTGACACCGGCTAGTTGTGACTCAACTGTTCGGTAAAGTAGTCCCCTCTTACCCACAGTTTTGCTTTTCATGGTTTCACTTACTGGTCAACTGTGGTCCAAAAATATTAAATGGAAAATTCTAGAAATAAACAATTCTTAAGTTTTAAATTGCACACCTGTTCTGAGTAGCATGATGAAATCTTGCACCACTCGCTCTGTATTTCCTGGGATGTAAATCATCCCTTTGTCTAGAATATCTACACTGTAGACACTACCTATCTGTCAGTCACTCAGTAGCCATCTATGTTATCAGATCAAAAAAAAAGTAATATATATACGGTTTGGTACTCTCTGAAGTTTCAGGCATCCACTGGGGATCTTGAAACATATCTCCTGTGGATAAAGGGAGGTTACTGGATCTGGAATAGGTTTCTAATTTTCACATTATAGAGAAGGTAGGGGAAAAATTATTCCAAGCATTGCCTGAGCTGCTGGATGAGAATATAAAGAACTCAATCATTAGTGTTCTATTTCAGAAATTGCATTAATGGTGCCAGCTCTGTTCTTCACTTTGTAACAGAATCAGGCAGGTTCTTCCATGAGGAGAGGTATTATTCCAATATTCTGACATTCTGCTGGCTGGTCCCTGGCAGAAAGAGTTGGGAGTAATACCTCTGACAGGCTTGGGGACTACATCAGGGTCCCCAGGTAAGTTCCCATATTTGAAAATGGCCTCTCAAAATATGACAAATCTCAGAACATAACAAGGAACATTAAAAACCACTGTAAATCTGCCACTTCAACCTGCATATTAAGCCAGTAGATCCCTTATGATTAAAAACATTATTATCCGATTATTGCAGCCATTTCAATGGTGCAGGGGCTGACAAATGGGAGGAAGCAACTGACTTCTAGGTGACTGAGTCAGGGAGCCCTTACTGGACTTGCCATCAGTAAAATACTGTCAGAGGCACTAGGAAACTAAAGAGATTCTCAGTCCTCTCAGCAAAGTCTCTGTGCGTTTGACATGTGAGGGGTGAAGTCCATTTTATTTTGTTTTTGTTTTTTTAATCTTTATTTGTTATTTTTATTTTAAGTTAAGGGGTACATGTGCAGGTTTGTTACATCGGTAAACGTGTGTCATGGTGATTTGCTGCACCTATCAACCCATCACTGAGGTATTGAGCCCAGCATGCATTAGCTATTTTTCCAAATGCTCTCCCTCCCCCAACCCCACCTGCCAACAGGCCCCAGTGTGTGATGTTCCCCTGCCTGCGTCCATGTGTTCTCATTGTTCAGCTCCCACTTATAAGTGAGAACATGCACTGTTCCTGTGTTAGTTTGCTGAGGATAATGGCTTCTAACTCCATCCATGTCTTTGCAAAGGACAAGAAAGACCATTTGACCCAGCAATCCCTTTACTGGGCATATACCCAAAGGAATATAAATCATTCTATTACAAAGATACATGCAACCCAAAGGAATATTAATCATTCTATTACAAAGATACATGCCTGCATATGTTCATTGCAACACTATTCACAATAGCAAAGCCATGGAATCAACCCAAATGCCCATCAATGATAGACTAGATAAAGAAAATATGGTATGTATACACCATGGAATACTATAAAGTCCATTTAAACTAAACATCCTTGCTGAAATCCGTTCCTCCTGCCACTGTCTACCTATTGCAGTTCTGCAAATCTCCAGGTCTATGAAACTCAATCTTTCAAACAGTAACCTGGTCTAAGCTTTATTCCTCTATTACATAAAGTCACAAAGGTTATGCCCATTTTGCATAGGAAGAAACTGAGGCCTGAAAGGCTGACTTGCCTATAGTGTGTCCCAAGTTAGCAGTGGGAGCTCGGATTAGCCCAGCATCCCTGCCCTTCCATGGTAATGCTTTTGTCTCTGAAAGCTAATCCACAGAGCAGTTCAAGATTGTTACTAGAATTGAATGAATTCAAGACTAAGAGAATGGAGAAATCAGCCTCCTTTGAGTAAGTCAAACAGAAACACTGCTGTTACTCCTAACAGCTCACCCAGCATGTCTTGATGAGAATGGTAGGCAAATATCACATATGCCAGGCCAGTGATCAGCACCTGCTGTTCCTGTGCTCAAATCATGGTGTTGACTCCTTATTGCCCCACTGCACTCAGAGTGTAAGATCCAGTGTTTAGTTTTTTGAGGTGTTTTTTTTAGAGTCTCACTCTGTCACCCAGGCTGGAGTGCAATGGTGCAATCTTGGCTCATGGCAACCTCCACCTCCCAGGTTCAGGAGCTCTTCCTGCGTCAACCTCCAGAGTAGCTGGGACTACAGGGATTACAGATGCCTGCCACCACACCCAGTTAATTTTTGTATTTTTAATAGGGACGGGGTTTTGTCATGTTGGCCAGGCTAGTCTCGAACTTGTGGCCTCAAGTGATCTGCTTGCCTCGGCCTTCCAAAGTGCTGGGATTACAAGTGTGAGCCACAGTGCCCAGCCAGCCTCAGTCTTCTTGATCAGTCCCCATAACTTCTCTAACCTCACCCAAGCCCCGCTCCCCACTCTCCACCCTCCTGACTCACTTACTTACTCCAGCCACACTGGCCTCCTTACTGTGCTGCCAGCCACACTCCTGCCCCAGGGCCTTTGTCCTGACTCAAGCATTCTTCCATGGATGGTCACATGGCCCCAATCTTCACTTCCTCCAAATCTTGCTCAAATGTCACATCTTCAGTGAGGCCTCCCCAACCACTGTATTTAAAACTGCAACCTGCCCTTCCTCATACTCCTGATCTTCCTTATCCTTTTCTGCATATTTTGCAGCTTTTCTAGATAATGTCCTACGGTCTAGAGTTGCATATTATATCATTTACTTACTTATTGTTTGTCTCCCCTGCTAGAATATGCCAGATCATTGGAGGCAGATACCTTTGCTTTGTTCGCTAACAAAATCCTGACATAGAGTCCATCCCAATATACAGAACAGTGCCCAATATGTAGTAGTTGATCAATCCATTGTGGCTGTGATTGTTATTGTTGATGATTGTACTGGGAATCAGATCCTACACTTCCCAACCCACGCTGAAATCTGCTCAGGCAAAAAGTAGAAACAAGTGAGGGCAGAGCGGGGTGTTGTATGTGCTCGGTCCCTGTGTCCTTGGGCGATTCAGTATAACACAGTGCCTTAATATCCCTGAATTTCACTTGTTTCCCATTAGTCAAATTTCATTGGCGTAAATGAGACATACGGTGTGTGCCTCACCATAATGAGAAAATCTAGAATACATGATTATATGACGTCCTCATCCCTTCTAAGACGGCAGAGCATCCTAAAAGACAGAGTTTCTCTGCTCCTGGAGGATCGCTCTGTGGTCTCACGTGCTTCTGTCTTTGGGTTGATTCTCATCCCCACCCCATCCCAATTCATCTGCTCCTGGCAGACCCAGCTGCTCAATCTGAATGGTCATAATGCCCAGTGTCAATTTCCTTCCAAAGAATGCCAAGTTCTCCATCAAGAAAGAAGCTCCCTTTGTCCTGGAGACATCCGAAATCGGTTCAGACCTCTTTGCAGGAGTAGAAGCCAAAGGGTTAAGCATTAGGTAAGTACATTTCCTCCAAGTTTATATGTTTAAATGCAAAGAAATAAAAAAAAGACTAGCTGACATACTTTTTAATCATCAGATATTTGCAGGCATAAGATTCTCTGTTTCAAAGTGATGCCATTTTGTTTTATTTCCAGGTTTAAAGTGGTCTTGAACAGCTGCTGGGCCACCCCCTCGGCTGACTTCATGTATCCCTTGCAGTGGCAGCTGATCAACAAGGGGTAGGTACACTGTCTAGAGACAGGGCTGAGCAGTGGAACCGGGCATTTATCGGGCTACTTTGTTCTGGCGTGGCAAAGCTTGGGAGGAAGAGGTGAAGCCTGCTGGAGTTACATCAGTGACATCCTCTGTGGTTCCAGGCAAAGGACAAATACTAAGAAACAGGACATAGTGCATTCTAGGGACTAGATACTGTTCTGAGAGCTTTATCTTGTATCAACTTCTTTAAGCCTTACGACAAGGAAGGTAGTTTTCCTATCATCCTCATTTTACAGATGAGGATACTGAGGCACAAGAGAGGGTAAGGTCTCATAGTAAATGTGTGTGTGTGCGTGTATGTGTGCATGTGTGTATGTGTGCAAGAGGAAGTGAGCAGGCTGAATTCAAATCCAATTATTCTGACAACAGAACCACAGTGATGATGACTAAATTAAGTAATCCATATCGAAAGCTTAGCCGATGGTACCTGCTAGAGAGTCCAACCATTTTAAATAAGATCATTGTTTTTATTACTAATTAGGTAGATAACCAGGAGCTCTTACAATCTGGAGTAAAGCACTAAAGTAGTACTAGAAGTGCGCCCTAGAAAAGCAATGCCGGAAGTCACACACGGGATGGTTTAGAAACATGCATGGAAGGGAGAAAGACCAGATTACAGGCCCTGGCAGCTATTGTGCAAGAGCGATAAGACATGAACTGCTATTGTAGCCAAGTGAATGAAACAAGGTAATAAAAAGTAGGGAGACGCTTCTACAGGAATGAGAAAATGTAGGAACAAATCAGATAGGAGGTGGAGGAAAGGACAGTGTGAGAAACATGGGGAGTAATGGAAAAAAATGGCTTTGTGTTCTTAAATCTCTGGACTACGAAGCTGAGGAAGAGTGTTTGGATTTGGCTGTTGGAGAAGGAGGTGTTTGGATAAGGAAATATGATTCTCGCTGAATTCGCCAACAGACATGTTAAGCTTCAAATGATGATTGCCCGGAAGTACTTAGAATTGTACCGTTGGAAGTCAGAGGAGAGACAGAGCCAGACAAGAGATGTGGACACCATGCACATAATTAGCAGTAAACAAAGAAGAGAACATTCTCTAAACACAGCCCATAACAGACCAATGTGCCTGTGTTATTCTCAGAACCCATCAGGCCAAGGACAAATTAATGTCAAGGATGAAGATAATTAGATAACTAAAGTGGAGCTATTTTGAACCTGTATTTTTATTTAGCAAACACTTATACAGCTCTTACAGTATACCAGATATTGTTCTAGGTAGGTGTATTACAAATATTAATTTATCTAAATGTCATTAATTAAATCCTCTATAAAGTAGATAGTATAATCATCATCATTTTATAGAGGAGAAAACTGAGGCACAGGTCCAGAAACGTGCCCGAGATATGGAGCTAGTAAGGAGAAGGCCTGGGATTCATACTCAGTCAGTGTTACCTCCCGAGTGGCCTGGACAGGACAGGCTGGCCGAGGCACGTCTACGCAGCCCAGCAATGCCTCCTGTAGAGATGGCAGCTTAATTTGGGTGTTTACCTCACATCTGCCATTGAGTGATTCAATTCATTTAGCCTCTGTTAGCAATGGTGCAATTAAATGACTTCAGGAATTCTGAAATAACTTATTGACCTGCAGGGACCTGAAATTGCTATCAGGCACTGGGAACCTCTCTCAGGCAGTGGTCACACTAGGCAAAGGCTTCCGCCACCCCTGGAATCATCTCTCTGAAGGGAGTTCTAGTGCTGTTGTTCCCATCTGGCAGATGTCCAACATGGCTGAAAAAGGGATGCCTGTGGCTTTGGGTGGTCGGCACAATTGTCCTCGAGCTCTAGTGCACACACAAACTGCCTAGGGTGCTATTACATATGCAGGTGCACTGTAAACCTACCGGATCAGGACTCTGGGGAAACCCAGGGAATCTGCATTTCAGCACAGCCAGATGTAAGACATCCCGATCCATTTCTCCATTCTCCCTAATTGACATGGCACCTCAAAGTTGGAGATACATGCACAAAGTTCAGTGTCAAAGGGGAGAATGGAAAAGTCCACTCCCACAATCTCCAGATGATTTTTGCTCACACTGGGCCCCTTTGGGAAAAAACCCAGTTTACAAAAGTTCCTGGAGAGATGGTAGGAGATATATCATCAGGAATTTCCCTGTACACATGGATGCCCTGAAAGCAGCGTACTTATCTCAAAGAGCAATCCGACATGGGAAAGGAGGCTCGTGCAGAGAGGGCATAAAAGCCTCCTATGGGCTTCCACCATCTAGAGGCAGCTGCCACTGAAATGTGGGTACTGCAGCTGGTGCCAAGAAGCAGCAGTGCCAAGGCATCTAGACCTGCCTATTTTTTGCCTCCTCCCCACCCCCTGACAAAGCTCTGCTTACATTATTTTCCACTGGCTGACACCATGCCTGGGGCACTCTGGCTGCAAAGAGCTATTTTAAGAACTCCTATCTTGAGTTCATATGAGGATCTCGGGTTTATTGACAAAATGATCCTACAGAAGTATTGTTTCACAACTTGGAAAATGCCACAGTTTCATCACTGTTCAGAGCCCACCACACACAGACCCAGCTCTGACCCCTGGTCCAGATAAAAACGTACGGCATTCCCTCACTTTACTCCCTCACTCTCACACTTGACTTCCTTAGCTCCTGGCTTTAGCTTGGCCCCCTGTTGCCTGTTTCTGAGGGAATGGGGGTGGGGTAGAAAACATCGTGAAGGGTCCCTGGGGTAACTGGACCACTCTCTGGCATGTGTGCCGAGTTTACAATACAGGAAGAAAGATGCTTCCGCGTCACATTAATCTGGGGCTTGCTGTGGTGCTGTTCAGTGGTCTGACGCTTTCGATACATAGACCTTTTTCTGCAGAGGGACAGACACTGGTACCCCTTGTTAACTGCAGATAACAAACCCCCACAATGGTGTGGGCTTCTCTGTACAGTCCCAAGAATGATTGTGTCTGTTTCCAATACCTAGTTAAAGGAATGGCACTTAGGTAATCAGTCTTTGTTAAATGAAAAAGTATGTTTGCTGAAACCAAGATTTCTTAATGTTGGCACCTTGACATTTGGGGTGGGACCATTCTCTATTGTGGGGGCTGCGCTGTGCACTGTAGGATGTTCAGCAGCAGCCCTGGTCTCTGCCCACTCACTAGATGCCAGCAGCACTTCCCCCAGTCTGGATAATCACAGTGCCAATGTCCCCTGGGGCACAAAGTGGACCCCCAAGTGAGAACCACCAGCTTAAACAAATGTCCATCTGTGTCATTTTTTTAACTGAATTATTACCTTTGAGACTTTGGAATATTATGCAAATATCATATTCTCATTATAGAGAATTTGGAAAAACACATGAAAATACAAAGAAGAAAACCAAAAATGTCTGTAATTTTATCACTTTGTATCAGCCTGTGTTAACCTTTAGATGGTATCCTTCAGTCATTATTTCTGTACTTATATTAAAAACGTGACCACATTTTTACAAAGGTAACTATGTAGAGATATATATAATTTAAATAATATACCATAAATACAAATTTTCAATGCAAAACCTCACAGTTCACACGCAGAAATGTGTTGGGTGTGACTTGAGCTTAGGCAGCTGTGGCAACAGGGGCAATGCTGCTCCTGGTGCCATTGTCCTTACTTTATATATCCCTCAAGGGCTGGACATATTTCAGGGCTGTATATCCCTCAAGGGCTGGACATATACTTTGTATATCCCTCAAGGCTGGACATATTTATCTCCTAGGGATTTGCTTTCTTTGGGACACAGGTGCAACTTACTAAAAGTGTGGCTCTTATAAGTCACTCTCCTCCCATTGTACCTTGTCTGTAGAATGCGGACAGTCATACCCACCTCCTAGCTCATCAACTTGACCTCACAGTTGTGAGGATCAAGTGAGGTGCTGCTAATCAAAATGCCTGGGAAGGTTAAAGGCCATATAACCACCTCGGGAGCCTTGTGTGTAAATTGCTCAGCAGCTCTTGCTGGAGTTCCAGGAGGTGACAGTTCACTCTTCTTCCCCCATCTGCCTCAGCTGCCCCACGGATGAAACCGTCCTCGTGCATGAGAATGGGAAAGATCACAGGGCAACCTTCCAATTCAATGCTTTCCGGTTCCAGAACATCCCCAAACTCTCCAAGGTGTGGTTACACTGTGAGACGTTCATCTGCGACAGTGAGAAACTCTCCTGCCCAGTGGTGAGCTCTCTCCAGGAGGAAAATGTTACCCAAAGGGCACCAGAATTGGAGGAGCTGGAGTTTAAGTGGGGAAATCATAACCAGGCCAGGGCAGCTGTGTGCCAAGGGCATCTGGAGGAAATGGCACTGAGTGTAAGGGCAGATGCTCGTGGGGGCAGATGCTCTGGACCCTATCTGCCCTGCCTCCAACAACCCACATGGTCTAGCATGTATCACCTAACCTGCCGGGACCTGCTTTCTCATCCTTAAGTAGAGTGTGATCAGTAATGATGGCCCTTCCCTCATCAGAGAGCAGTGTCGGTAAATGAAAGTGATAACAGACATGGAAATACTTTGAAGAAGTGAAAAGGGCAAGGGAAATTCAAGGTCTAGGTGGCAGGGACAGGCTGTGGGCATAACTCAAAGGGTGAGTGCTTTTAGTCTTGACTGCACAGCCCGAGGGTTCACCTCTGTGACTTCAGAGAGATGCTGTAGAAAATTCCGACACTGGGTCATGGCTGATTTGACCCTTGTGACCTGACAGGCTGTGCTTTAACAAGCCAGCAGTCATCCTGGTGCTCACTCAAACCTGAGAACCACCACTTAGACACAGACATGCCAAATCTCAAACTGTTCTCCTTTCTGGTCTCTTTCAACTGGAGACCTCGGTGTTTCCAAAGAGGCTGCTACCCACATAGCCTATAGTAACCAACAAAAATAAGGTCATAATCTCTATTGCTATTGATTCATTTGGCCGGAAAATGGTTCTTTATGAGCACAAATAGCAAAAGGGAAAGAAACCAGAGAGTGCAGAGCCAGGGAGAGGACGGGAGAGACACTATACAGTTGATCAAAGGATAAGTATCGGTGCCATATTTTTAAAAAGAAAGAAACGAAAATGAACCAGAATACATTTGCAAGTGTCCGCTTCTCTAATTATAGTGGCGAGAGTGATAGTAAGTAAAAGCCTTATCAAAGGAAACGGTATCAATCCCTTCCACACTCAATGACCTCTTCCAGCAGGATTCCCTCTGGCTTGAAGAGTTAACAAAGTAAAGCTTTCTTTTTGAATTCAAGTTGGAGAAGGGATGAACAGTGTCTCTCTTTTTGAAAAAAGTAACTCATATCTGTTGACTGGGGAATTGTGGCTCCATCCCATTTGTGACCTTTTTAAAATGTCTTTTCTTTCTCTTTTCTCCCCTTTGCTCACTCGTCATCCCACCTTCCCCGCTTCTCTCCCCTCTGCCTCTCTGGGTCTTCAGACCTGCGATAAAAGGAAGCGCCTCCTGCAAGACCAGACCGGGGGAGTCCTGGTCGTGGAGCTCTCCCTGCGGAGTAAGCGTCTCTGTTTTCCAAACGGTTGAGTTCACTCTGGGCTGCATCCACAGGCACAGCCGGTTTGAGCATTTTTACTGAATTGCCAAACCAGTTGTGCCTGTGGGCACAACCTTTGTCTGCTCCTGGAGTCTTCTAGCCAGGGGTGGGGAACAGCTCAAGCCAAACGAAGGAGTTGAGGTTTGTTATCTACTCTGGAAGTTCTATCTGCACCCTAAATTCAAATACCCCCAAGAAATAAGGAAGTGTTGAGCTTCCAAACAGAGCATGCAGTGAACAATAATAATAGAAAATGAGATGTCATGGGGCCGGGCACGGTGGCTCACGCCTGTAATTCCAGGACTTTGGGAGGCCAAGGTGGGTGGATCACTTGAGGTCAGGAGTTCGAGACCAGCCTGACCAACATGGTGAAACCCCATCTCTACTAAAAATACAAAATTACCTGGGCTTGGTGGGGGCATGCCTGTAATCCCAACTATCAGGAGGCTGAGGCAGGAGAATCGCTTGAATCTGGGTGGCAGAGGTTGCAGTGAGCTGAGATCACCACTGCACTCCAGCCTGGGCAGCAAGAATGAAACTCCATCTCAAAAAAAAGAAAAGAACGAAAGAACGACAGAGAGAGGAAAGAAAGAAAGAAAAAGAAGAAAGAAAGAGAGAAAGAGAGAAAGAA